ATATATTAGTAAAAGTATTTTATAGTCGTAATAAATTTCGAGGAAATTTTTGTATGACCTTCGACAATGAGCATAATGTGCAAGAGGAAAAGTCATTCATTTTCTCTGTATGTAGAGGAAAGAAACGATATTGCTCACCATCAATCAGGATACAATTGATATTCACCTATGTGAATTGATTTTAAATGGAGGTCCAAAATGAGCTTGAGATGCAAATTATAACGCCGCCGTGTTTTAACTTACATATCATTGACCAAAAAGTCACACCACGTTGGACAAAACTTGAGAGTTAAGCAAGTAAAAGTCTTTTTTGAAAAATTAAAAACTACTTTTTCTTATTCAGCTCGTTGCGCACTATCCAATCATGTATAAAGGTACAAAACAAAATGTTTTGACAGAAAGTTCGAATTTCCAACACCTTACTCGTATGCAAGTGCACTCACCGGGTTAATGCCTTCCGCTGTTATCAACAAAATGTTTTGAATAGTACATCGTGTTTATGATTTCTTCTAATATCGCTAATATTCTCTTGCAGGCTCGATGCAGGATATTATTAATGCGATGGTTAGCTCTTGCAATTACGTTTCCAAGAACAATACACCGGAATCGTATTTTTTCTAAAGAATACACGTGGAAGAAGCATAAAAAGCGAGAAGAGCAAAGAACAAAATAATCTAGCACTACACTGTGAATTCTAAATCTTTTATAAACTTATGAAAATCGATTATAAAATCGCTAGGGATTTTATAGATTTTATGATCTGGTCAAGCATTTCATAGGATAATGAAAAATGCTTATTTTTGTTTTTCTATGAAATCAACTTGATTTTATACAAATTTTGATTTTCCTCTTTTTATAAAATCGTTCAGACTCTTGTTGCAGGATAAAAAATCCTCCTTCAGTATCGGAAAAAGTAAACAGTCTATTTGGTTTGTCAAACTAAACTAAAAATCAAATGGGTTGCATATTTTTTCGAAAATCGCTTCATTCTGTCTCCTGCAGATCATTTTCAATTTTATATTGCCGTAGCTAACGTCGTAAGTAAAACAATAAACGAACAAAACGAATGATTTTATGAAATCTATAAAATATTTCCCATTTTCGATTTTTGAAAAGTCCATATACTTAATCATCGCGGATTTTATAGAAAGAATCGTGGACCAGTTTTGACTGTCTACAAAATTGAAGCGTGAAATCTATACTGATTTTATAAAAACCCCAAATCCGATTTTAGAGAATCTTAAAAATCGTCTCGATCTTATATAAAATCAAACGTTTGTTTCTATAACTTCCTATAAACTCAATAATGATTTTAAAGAAAGTTATAAAATTCGATTCCAGACATATTTAAAAATCCCCAAGGATTAAGTATATGGACTTTTCAAAAATCGTCATTTATTTTATATAAAATCAACACCATTTACAGTGTATAATAAAATGCGTCTTTAACTGATATAAATACGAAACAAGAGAGAGCAAGTACATGGTGATCATTTAGGAGCGTCGTAATATAATTTAATTGTTACACAGAACAAAAAAATATATACTTACACACACAGATGATATAAAATCTGTAACATAACATGATTTGTGAATAAAATAAAAACTATGAATACTTCAATAACAATAAAAGCTGTATGTACTGCGACAAAAAGAAGACAAACAATAATAAAGATAGATGAACGCGTGCTCGAGTCAAACAAATAGGTGTTACTGGAAAACGATTAGAATACGGTAGATGCCTCAGGGATGCTGCTCTTTTTATTTATAAAACTTTATTATTTCATCTATACTTTCACATTTAACACTATTTCTTTTCAATACATCTCTTAACCATATCTCTTTTATATCTAAATAAGTATTAAGATTAATTTTTCTTAGTTTTTGAAAATTTTCTAGTTCTTTATTCTGATCAATAGCTTCAACATCACAAAATGTCATCCAACATTTATTTGGATCTAAGTTATAATTTTTAGCCCATTCAAGTTTTTTATTTTCAACATCTTTTTCTGTCCATTCTCTTTTCTTATTGGTAGTGATGGTAGTAGTTGCATGTTGTGTTTCCCCCCTTTTATACATGGAAAATTTATCTACGTTTTCTGGTTCATGAGACTGATTACTGTCCAGTGCTATTTTATCACATCGATTAAAAATGTATAAAACATCAACTCCTTCCTTAGCTAATACTTTAACGGTTTCTATAACAGATCCTTCACCATCACGATCATTACCACCTTGTTCAGAATTCAAAACAACAATAATTGCATTAACTAATGTATGATTACAGATAAAACAATTTTTAACTGCATCAACAACGGCTGTTAAATGTGGAAAATCAACAATTCGAAATTCATCCGTTACACGATAACTGCAAAGATCAGTTGTTCGCACGTTTTTATCAGGATTTGTATCGAATCCAAACATACCTTTAACAAGTTTTGATTTACCAGTTTTACCTGGACCAACAACACCAACAGCGAAATCTTGTGTTAATAGTGTACGCATTTGAAAATTAGCATTAATACATTTAACTATGGTTAAACAATGTTTACGTTTTTCATAAGTATTTAATTCTTTCAGAACACCACATGGGAAAAAGTTTTCCCAACTATCATAAATATAGTCATCATCAGGCATAGGTTTAAATTTGCTAGAATATTTCGAACTAATTCTTTCTTCTAAACAATACTGATGCTGTCTTACCTGATCCATATCAACGCCTAATGACTCAGCGATTACAGACAGAATTTTTAAATATTCAGTATGTACTGTCTTAAAAAAATGGTATAGTGTCATGATTCCGCCCAAAACAGTGCCACCAGCAGCTGCAATTGATAATTGCCATAACAACGCGGCTACTGTCCAATAACCAATACCTAAACCGATCATAATACCGCCTACGGTAGCCCATCCAATTTGGTACCATTGAATATCTTGAATATCAAATTTTAAATTAAACTCACGTGTTAATGCTATCATCATACAAAATAACCTCGGTACAACTCCAGCAACTGCTTCAGTAGAATGACGAAGAACATTCGATGATGAATCTGTCGTTTGTGCCGTTTGAGCTGTCGATCTAGCTGAAGCACTTCCATACCAATTTTTCAAAACACTCTTTATAGTGACAAATTCGATTTTTGAAGACGGCGATTCCTTCGCTGCTCTTTGTGATTGATAAAATGAAAATGGAGAACACTCGGTCGTCGTTTCTTCACTTTCGTTATCAGACGAATATGGTGACGATGTATCAAATTTTTTACGCTCATATTTAACATAAGAAATTTCTTTTCCTAACTCTTTCAACAGATCTTTGTTTAAATAACCTGCAAGATACTGTTCTTCCACTTTTTTACAATCATCTTTTAACAAGTTCTCACACAACAGTAATTTTGTTTCAATATTTTTTCTTCTATCACAATCCTCGCCGGTATTAAGTAGAGCAGCATCACCGGTAAAAGCACAGTATGCAAAGGCTAATTTATACAATTCGAATACAGATAAATCGGCAATTTGCTTTTTTCTATCTTGCATACCATCTGATAGCGTAAAATTTTTTCGATCAAATACTCCAGATAGATCAATAGTTCCAAAATGCCCGACAATAGAAAACTCATAACTGACAACAAAGGGACCCAGTACTATGGGAAGATATACAACAAAGAGTCTGACCGATTCGTCATAACTATCTCCTGGTTCCACTAGATTACCTTCACAATTAGAATATTCACATTTAAGAGCTGTTATTAAGCTAACAGCTGGACCATGTAAACGGAGAGTTAGTTCTTCTTTATTTTCATATTTACAGGTAACAATGGATCACATGTTTAAGTCCTCGTTCGCATTCGACTGATTTTTCCATTGCCATGAGTAAAAAGAGATACAACGGAGAAGCAGGAAATGCTGCCGAAGATTGAATTAGTTGCACCTCTGGACAATCATAATCAGAAAATGGTACCATGTTGTACCTAGCAATGACGATTGTATAAATTTCAGCGATATAATTTTTTATATAATGATCCTGTAAGCCGATAATGAGATTACCAGAATCCCAATCAATTTCATTTGCACTGAATTTTTCCAATGGCACACGTTCAATAGAAAAAACAGTATTATCTTTGTTCTCTTCGTCAGACTTCGTACGATAACAACAACCGAATGGTTTATATTCAGGTAAAATTGCTTTCAAAAGACTACGACATGTTTCAATAAGATACTTAGTTAATCCTCGACATTCTCGTTCAATGTTAATATCAGCACCATCTTCAACTGTTCTCATTGTTCTACGTAATCGTCGCGCTATTTTTTGTGTGATTCCCAATGGTTCATGACCAGCTGTTAGACAAAGAGCTAAAGTTTCTAACCATTCCTTACAGACTCTTTTTAATTGTACATTCGAACTTGCATTATAAACAAAAGTCAAAAGGTAGGGTATTATGTCTGTACGATTAACATAGAACTGAAAATGATCTTGATAACGTGCATTAATATATTCGCTGCAAGCTTCGTTTCCAATAAAAGGCGAACCAAAAGCAATACAATAAATTCGCTCTTTCAAAGGTATGGCTCTCAGATCAGCTAACATATTAACAGTAACAAGGGTCGCTATTGCTCCTCCCAATGAATGTCCATTAAATATTAATTTATAACCTTGAAATTTGTTTAATAAATAGAAAAACGGTGCTAGTGGAATCAATCGTGCTTGTTCATAATACCCCGCATGAAATGTGCCTTGGACGGTATTTGGTTTTGCATAGACTTGAAAACTAGTCAACAGTGCTTTCCAACTGTCAGTGCCACGAAACGTAACATAAATCTCTTTTGTTTGTGTTTTAAGGGCAATCAAATATTGACGTTTACAATTAATGGAATATAACAATTCATTTATTCCATGATACATAGAATATTTTAATCCATTTAATAACTTAACACAACTTTCCGCATCTGGAGCATAAACAGCTTGTGACAATGCTAGACAGGTACTAATACGAGAATAGTTTCCATCTTTCCCAAGCCAACACGGATGCTCAGTAACTACTCCTCTTGCCATCTAGAAAAGAGCAAATTTTGAAGAAGTAAGATCTTACGAAAGTTGATACGCTCGGCGCCTATTGCTGGCTGATCTATGTTCGAGTATATCAGGTAATGAACCCAAAAAAATCCGAAACAAAAAAATATCAAGAAAGCTTTAGGTTACAAGCTTTAGATCTATTCTCATGTTGCAAACGAATGTAAACATTTAGATTAAACACATTTAGTAAATATTTCTTATGTTCTTGGGTTCTTACATGTTGAAAACGAACCTAAAATTTTTACATTCGTATCTGCTAGTTATACGCCATTTGCGCGATTTTAACCTAAGGCTCTCACTGTCAGCAACGGCTCGCTCCCACACTCCGCCGCGCCCAATATAGTAGGAGAAAATGATCTTAGATCTAAATGTTCGTACGAACCTAAAAACGTACTATGAACCTAAAACGTTAGTACGAACCTAAAATACTTAGGTTCGTTTTCAACATGCAGGAACTCAAGAACCTAGATATAACATATAGTAGGATAAAAGGTTCTTGTATCTAAGTGTTCGTACGAACCTAAAACGTTAGTTCGAACCTAAAATGTTTAGGTTCGTTTTCACCATGCTAGAACCCAAGAACCTAGGAATCTAGATGAAATATATTTTATGTCAGAAAGGTTAGGTTGGTCATGGGCGATGAAAGTAGTGAGAATTTTAGAGTCGTTACGAAGAAGAATTCCTCATCCTATGCACTTTTTCAGTTGTGTGAGACTACGACTTTAAACTTACTCGAGATTGTAAGGTGCACACAATGCAAAATTCGAGCAGTTTTTGTTTTTCAACAGAAGGTAGGTACATATTCTGATGCAGAACTTCATGCTGATCACGAATATGACCTTAAAAGTTCAACAAAACCTTTTCTTTGGGGAGAAAACTGCAAAATACTGTGAGCCACCAAAAACTTTCAAAATCTTTGACCTTCCGAAAAAACCCCATAACTTTTTCTTGGAAGCTCCTATCGAATCAAACTTTGTTTTTGTTGGATTCCTCGTCGAAAACTGAGTCTACCCCAACCAATTTCAGATTGAAATACCGTAATCTGAAACTTCGGCGAAGCTCAAAACCGAAAGACCTAAAAAATGAGGTCCCTCCACCAAAAACCTATCTAGTTTTTCTGATAAGGAGCTAACTCATT